CTTCACTCAAAAAGGGTCACCACCTTTTCCATAATTGGCTAGTGCTCTCTGGCCAATCCTGGTCCAATTGAGTCACAGGCCTTTATCCACTGTATCTTCTCCTGCCATGCACGGGTAAAGCCACTTGCGTCACTCTTTGGCCTCTTGGGCGTCTTTGTCCATCATGGCTTCATCTGTCATGGACTTCGCCAGGGGACAACTGGCTAGCTAGCTTTTGGGGGAGTGCTCTCATAGACAAATTGATGACCAGTTGGTTTCTCTCCCACCTCCAGCCGTGGAACCAAAATCTAGGGATCAAAAGGCCGACTCCCATCTTCACCCAAATAGAGCACCGGGTCATTAGCACTGCATCTGCACAGAAAGTTGCGCCAAATAAAGCTGTAATGACCAGGCATTCTATTCGGGTGAAGATGGCAACAGCTCAGTCACCGTGTCAATCCAAACAACTGTATGCCCAATCCTCTCTGGTCACAGGCATGTACATGTGATGTACATGTGCAGCAAAAGCTGGCCAAATGTACTTTTAGAGTAGTCTTCTGTCCTCCCTGGTCACAGAAATGAACCTGTCACGTAGGCAGGCAGCAAAAGCCTGGTTTACTTTCAAGTAGTCCGGATATCCACCATAGCCCATGCTTTGGCTGCCTCCTCCACATAAGAGATGGAAAACAGATCTTTTTTGCTATAGCACAGTTGAAAGTTGACCTCTCACAACCAGCTCGGCAAACAGATCTTTTTTTAAGCTATCCGATACTTGCAACCAGTTCTCAACATCTTCATCCAGTTGGTACCTGTACACTGCGGTTGGCTGCACCTTTGGCATCCCCTTACTTTTTCTGTCACAGGCAACAATGCCTGCAGGACCTGTGCCACGGTCCTCTTTGGGGTAGGACAGCATTGAACCGCTTTAGTCACAGTTGGCAACGTTGTACCGGAGGAAAGCAAGCTACCTTTTACTGGGAGTGTTAAGGGCGACAGCACTTGGCAATAAAGATCTGAATTTTCTCCATCTGTTTCGCCATCTCTTGTGATAGCCGCTGCAACAACTGCTGACCCAATCTGGTGGTCCTCAGTATGGTCCATATTAATACCAACTTCTCCTGAACATCGGTACTCGCCCATGACCTATTCTGAGTTGCCTATTTCCGTTTGGCCACGGCCTGTGCCGTTTTGATCCTCTGCCAGGCCTCTGTCTTCCTCAGCCCGCTTCCTCGCCAATCCTGTCTCTGTACCTCCTGTAATTCCTGTGTGGTTAGGCTCTGTTCAGTCACCATATCCATCCGTGCAGCAGGCCACAATCACCCAAGATTGGCCATCTAATCAACCAGCCACCACATCATCATTTGTGCATACCCCTCTGGTTCTTCTCGCCTTTGTCTCTCTGCTGACAAGTTTCTACCAGAGGCTATTTATAGCCTCTGTAGTC